TTAATTTGTAAGATTTGTATTCATGTCTTATCCACACGTTTGTTATGTTTATAAAAAAATACTTTGTGCTCCGAGGTTCAGTTTCCCATGGAACCTCTCAACTGTTATTTACTTTCCATGCTCTGAACTTCTGAAGTAGTTTGACTTCGCACTGAACACATAGATTAAAGCGGCTCTGAAATAGCTCCCAGAAGCTCATTCTCTACCTATGTTCTCTCAAGAGAGGACTAGGTAGGGCGGGGTTACTCGAAGAAGGGAGCGGTAAACTTCTTGACGGGTGGATCGGCACTTGGAGACAGGGTTGGTGGAGGTTTCTTCTGTTGGAAACTCTCCACCAGAACTAGTATGTTTAGGCTTCCGGGCCTCTGCAGTGTTTTTCAGGTGGAAATAGCTGCCATTAAGGAAGTTTTAGACTCACTGCTAAAGGGTGTGTTGGTGCGCTCAAAATCGGTAAAAGAATGTCTGACCACTCTATCAATCGCTTCGGAGTTCTTCTTAGTAAGGCTAGTGTAGGAGCCGGATCACAGTAAAATCGCGGACAACTGCGTGGCTGATGACCTGGCGTCGGAAAGGCACCCTAAAAACGTTTTCCCTGGATAAGGATCAAGTAGGAACGCTTCTGTCCCCCTGCGGTATACTCTTGAATGGTCTAGTGTTAGTTCGGCGAGAATAACACGCAATAATTGAATGGCACACTCTACAAATTCCTAATAAATTGGACAAAAGAAAGCGATGCTCCTTTTGTGACATACGTAAGGAAAAAATGCGTTTTTCTGCTGCAGAAAATGTGTTTATAGGGCACTTTTAGAATATTTTGGCAACGCAAGACACGAGTGGCCCATCGTTACACCTAACAAGTGCCGAAAAACACGTTACCTCTCAAGGGCTAGTGATGGGGTTTCTGGCAGGCCATTGTGCGTGGTATTCACGCGGTAGCTGTGAAGAGAAAGGTGAGGTGGAATCATCTCCACCCTTCTTTTTTAGACTATCCAACCTTCGGAAGGCTAAGACGGAAGCATTTTGGCTCGCCCTTCTTAACTAACACTGACCTCTCATGGATCGAAAATAGCCGCATTCGAAACTTGGTAATCGGCTCGCGGCGTTTCTCCGACTAAATTAAAGATCTCCGTTCAGTTTTTGCTTGGTATCACAAAGGACTATCTCTCAATTTTCCAAGTGTGTCTGTTGCTACTTTAACCTAACCCAAGCTAACCTGTACTTCTTTGAGCTATGAAAAAGTTGGTCACATTATTTATACTACATATGTATGTACATCAACAACTCAACGAACGGAGACTCAAGTCAAAAACACAAACCAACAATCGGACCCAACCATAACTACCTAGATTTTAATTTATGACCACTAATTTGTGCATGAATGTATTCAACACAGATTGATGAAATATGAGCAGTTTTCAAGTAGCATCTTAAAATGACAACAACAACAGCAATAACAACGCAAATGCCAAAGGAAGCAATCAGCAGGTCAAAATATACACATTTGAATATGCATGAAGTTATTCAACGCGTTGGGTCACATAACAGCGCCAAGGATTAAGGTGAAGTGGAGTATGATTACGGTGACCAGATTTCTGTGGCCAAAAATCGGGTAATTTTTAAAGCATCGTACCCGAACATACAATTTTGTTTTTAGAATAAAAATACAGTTTTATCTAAAACAAAACAAATAGAAAAAAATTGCAAAATATTTATTATTTTTTTATGAAAATACATACATATAAATTTTAATAAATGTTCATCATAATTTCAAATATTTTAACCAGATTTTCTGGACTTGTTTTGAGCATGCTATGTTTTGAAGCCCATTACATTTTAGTATAATAAAGTGCAAGTTGGAAGAAGTTTGGACTTACCGTTACCATACACAGTATGTTCCAAAATTTTTTTGTAGGGAGAAAATGAGCAAAACCTTCCACAAAAGTTGTTTTTGGGCCAAAGTAAAGGGAGAGTCTTAATAAATGAATGAAGAAAACACTGAAAATCGGGTCTTAATAGGTACAAATATGAAAAATCCGGACACTTATACGTCCTGACTTTAAAAAAAATTTTCTCAAAATCGGTACTGTCCCGCCAAAATCGGTACGAATGGTCACCGTAAGTAGCCGTCAAAAAATAAACGCACAAACAGATAAGTATATGTATGTATGTAGGTATGTAAGTATGTGTACAGTGTCACTGACAAATGTTTAAAACAATAATATAAATTTCATGTTGCCTTTATTTCTTGTTTATCGCCCGATAATCGCTGGCCATTAGTCATTTTGAAGTATCGCTACGCCATGCCAGCAATAAAAACAACAATGGATCTACAAAACACACGCAGCAACATGAAGAACAGCACAGGCGAAGGTAGGGAAAGGCAGGCTGAGCTGGATCGATCCCAAACAAACGAACACAAGCCCAAATAATTGGAGACGTTGGCGGTGGCTGTGTCAGCGAAACTTGGCCAACCAGCCAGATCGAGCGCCGTTGCATTGGCTAGCCAACTAACCGGTGGCAGCTGTGGTGTCAGCAGTAGCCGCTTGTCTTATTTTACGAATTATTGTTGTCCATTTTGCTGAATGCGCCGATATAGAAATATTTATATTTATATACAAACATACATATCTCACATATACATACATATGGATGTATACATATGTAAATAAGTACATATTTACACATAAAAATATATGAACATTTATTCTTGTTAAGTATGAATATTCCTACACTTTGGTGCGTCGCAGGAGTTCCAAACAAACGCACAAACAAATGTTTCAATATAAGTTTTTTTTTGTTGTTGTAGTCGCTTTGCTATTTATTTTTCTCATACACAATTTTTGTGTTGTCAATATTTTTCTTGTCACACTGTTTGTTGGCTGCTCAATCGGGCGGAGGTCTGTAGGTCGTGCGGTTTGGTTGTTGTTTCGTGTCTGTTTTGACCTTTTTTTCTTACCGTAGTAGTTTATACATACATACATATGTACTAGAAGTTTACGCCGATAGATATTGCCGCGGCGGCGTCGTGAATCTTAGAAATAATTATCAAATTGCGCCGTCGCATCTAGCCATTAACCACTCCCAATTCACTCCGAAACACTTCACGCGAAAATTAGCAAATGTCAGCACTGCTACCAAATAAAAGCGTACGACAAAGAATGTAAAAAAATATTTCAACCAAAAAAATATTCAGGTGTAAATATTAGGTGCAATCCCGTATTCCTCGGACTCGGACTAGTAAAACTGTCAAAAAATAAAAATTCGCTCAGAGCGAGAGAGTAACGTTGAAAAGTACGGGATCGTTTTCTAGTAAAAAATGGTAACTTCTGTCAACTTCAACATAACCTCCAAATTTTGGTTGTAAATTTTTGCTTATTTTGTATGTAAACACACTCAGCTCACACATGTAAACCAAAAATACTTTCACATTCATTAGAATCCACTTAAACAAGTAATTAAATACTTTTCAACATGAATTAGCAGAGTACACTTTTCTTTTGTTTAGATTTTGTTTGCCAAACACACTACAGCTGATCGTTTGACACATTTGCCAGAATTTACCATCAAAAAATTCTCAGACTAAAACTGGTAACTTCTGACAGAGAGAGAACCGTATTTACTCTCTTTTCTGTCCTCTCAATAGTCAGAGAACCGAGTACGGGATCGATTTCCAGTAAAATCTGACTGATTCTGACTATTTCTGACTAGTCCGGACTCGTACGGAATCGCAACTATTGTATGGAATGACCCATAAATAGAGTAACAACACAGTACTCCATTTTGCATTTTCTCGTTTCACTTCGCGAGCATTATTTACTTTTTTAGTAACAAGATAAAATCCTTATCCTTGTAAAAGGTTTGCGCTTTTTGAATAGTTTAGAAAATAATATATTTTACTAGTGTGTTAAAACTCAAAGCTGGCGACCTAGTGACCATGTAATTGCTCGTACATAAAAACTATACCCCATACAAGTTTTCTGTTAATAACTTTAAATGTTTAACAATATTAACCTTCTGCCATCGGAATATGATGTACCCCTCCCGACAATTTTGGACGCACGATATATTCCGTTTGTACAGTGGTCAAAAAAATTACAGACGCACTACATAGATATTGACAAGTCTTAACTTATTATTTTTTTAATGTTATTAAATTTTAGTTATTTTTCATAAAAACATAGTTCATTATTTAACAAAACCCGTGTAAATCTAAGTTTCAAACTTAGTGTAATATTAAAAAAATGTATCTACATTCAACAATAATTTCGAGCTTTTTAATTAAATTTCTTAGAACGATTTTGAGTATGCAGTAGTTTGGGCCACAAATCCGCTTTTTTAGAATTTTTATTGGTAATAGCAAAAATATGGTTAATTATGCTCTAACACAACCTGTGTGAAAGATGACAATTTTTGGTCAATATCTTAGGCTCGCCCAAGTCCATCAAAGTTCAAGTGCTAAAAAAATTTTTTCTTAGCTTACTTCGATTCTCTACAAAAAAGGTCCATATACCAAATTATGTAGGAGTAATACTTTCGAAGATAATTGCAATTTTATTTAAAAAAAATTATTAATTAATGCATTTATAAATTTTTGTTTTTTGGGCACATTGAACTTTGATAGACTTGGGCGAGCCTAAGATATTGACCAAAAGTTGTCATCTTTCGCACACATTGTTTTGCTCTTACCAATCAAAATTCTAAAAAAGCGGATTTTCGGCCCACGCTAGTTTGCAGTTTTATAGCCCATTGACTCCAACGAGAATATAGTGCAAGTTTCAAATGGCATAAAATTACCCTTGATTTTTTATTTTACTGAAGATGTTACGGTTTTCGTCCATATAAAAATAAGTGATGTTTATTTGCGGGACGAAAAATTTTAAAAAACCTACTATAATTTTTAGCCATTTGAAACTTGCACTTTATTCTACTAGAATTCAATGGGCTAAAAAACTGTAAACTCAAAATCTTTTTAAGAAATCTAATTAACCTTAGAACCGTGACTTAGCTATACAACTTAATCTCGTGACTTGGGTACTCAGTGCCCAGTAATGTATTTCATATGGAAATTTAAGCTTTCTAAGAAGTTTTTTTCTAAAAAAACACAATATTTCGCTTATTGATGCACATATTTTAATGAAAAATGTTTTTATTGTTAGAAACAAAGGTTGTTTTATAGAAAAAGATATAAATCATATAAAGTTTTAGTTTTAAACCGCTCAGATGGGTGAAATTCTCCGCTGTCTTTTTGATGCGTTTTGATTTGGTGTCGACGTTGTTGGAGTATTGTCCTCATCTTCATGAATATCTGAGTCCGTATCAGCATCGGCATTGTATTTTGCGAAATAGCACTTTTCACATGTTCTTATATAGTGTTTGGTGCATGTGGGAGTAAGGCAATGGTCACAAACCGCTGTTGTTTTGTTGTCGGTTTTAGAAGCTTTGCATGTTTCACACCGCCGTTTCAAAGTGCTTATCTGCGGAAGGAAAATAAAGTTTTAAAATATATTTGAAAATAAACTTATTTTGAAATTAAACAAATTATGAAAGCCTACCTGTATTGCTGGACGCGATTTCGGTTCTTCAGGAGCCCGTTTGAAATCTATCAAGTCCATAGCAGTTTTCGTTGTGGTTTTTTTGTTACAGGATTCACATCTTCGCTGGAATGGGCAGTTGAAAGCAATAGCACGTTTTTCTTTGAATGTGTTGTAAAGCTTACCAATTGCATAGATTTTGAAAAGCAAAACACTGATTCAAACACACCCCTTTTCTTTGCTTCTTCAGAAGATGTAAAAAGTTTTGGCAATTGCGGCTTATTGCCTCTTATTGTGCCCACGATGGTAGTATTCCGTATAAGCGATTCCTCCGCCAAGTCATAGCTTGTGAAAAAGTTGTCCATGGTGATATTCACACCCTTATCCAAATATCGATCGCTGAGTCGCATTACAAGATTGCGCGCAATTCCAGTTGACCTTTGTTCATTAGGCTGTGCACCCAAATATACTTCGCCTGCAAGTGGATAATTGGATGTTGCGTCAACAAGCCAAAATATTTTTATGCCATAATTTCCAGGCTTGGAGGGAATGTACTGGCGGAAACTGCATCGGTTTCTTGTTGAAAGTAACTGTTCATCAACTGTCAATTCTTTCGACGGGATAAATGGTATCGTCAAATTCGCCAAGAATAATGTCCATACATGACGAATAGGTGCCAACTTATCGTGCCGTAATCTCTCAGCACGAGTCCTGGAATCGTCAAAGCGTAAAAAGCGGCATAATTGCTCAAACCGATGCAATGACATCACTGCTCTGTAAAAGGGCATGTTCATTTTGTGAAAAAGATCCTTAGCATGAACTAAATTTGCTTTTTCAGCACCGCAGTATAAAATTATTGCAATAAAAGCGTATATTTCATCCGCATTTGTGTCTTGCCAATATCTTAATTTTTTTGGAACTGTTTGACGCATATTTGCTTGAATTACCCTTTTAGCTTTCCTATTTGTCTCAAGTGCAATACCTTCAACAAGGGACACTGGGAAAACGCGTATGAAGGCATATATTTTTGACTTGAAACTTTCCGTGCATATTGACGTCGATTGTCTGCGCATTTCCAAAGCCTGTTCTGTTCGCCGTTTTTCAGTTTGGCTTGGCATTGACCACCATATGGTTTTGTCGTTCGTTCCTTGACCACAATATTTTTCGCCACGATTGGCCTCAATAACCGAAGTTGAGAAATGAAGTCTGCTTTCATCAGGATCTATATCTACTGCAGCTTCCTCGTGGACATATTCTTCGAAACGTGGATCTGGAATGGGCTCAGCATTATCTTCTCCGAAGTCAGACTGGTCACTGGGTGTAGGTTCGTGGTCATCACCATATGTAGGTTCTTTCCCTGCATCATCATTATCGCTTTCATGAGCATTGAAATAACTTGCAATATTTTCCTCCTCTTCTTCCGTCAATTCACGGCGTAGGTTGGCCAAATAAACCGCCAATTCCTCACTCATTTCAAAAACTATAACTATTACAACTAAAAAATGAACTGCTCACTTGAAATTTTTACGCGAAACTGATTAAAAATGCCCAATAACCACCAAAAACCGTTAGAAAATTTATGTTCTCCATACAAAATATATGAAAAAATGTATGGGCACTGAGTGCCCCAAGTCACGTATAGCGTACTCATAATATAAAATACCGTTACTTTCTTTTTATAAAATATATACACCTAGAATTCAGTCAACTTATAAACCAAGGTGCAATCTATCTGCCTATGAAAAAAAAAAAATCGCATTGGGCTTCCCAAACCCCCGAAATTCGATATCAAAAATTAATATGGGCACTGAGTGCCCAACTCACGGTTCTAAGGTTAAAAAGCTCAAAATGTTTACGAAATTTTGTTAAATTTTTTAATATTGCACAAAGTTTGAAACTTGGATTTAAGTACACTAAATAATAAAAAAATAAGTAAATTGTTAAAACTTGTGCTACAACTATAATTTTTTCGACCACTGTATATCATGAATATTTTGTACATTAATCCTCAGGCGCCGAACGCCGCTGCCGCCGCCGCCGCGCCGACGTTTACATGACTCGGCAGCGGCGAGTGAAAAATTACAAAAAACGGCGTGGATCGACGGCGTATACCTCTAATATGTACATAAATATATTAAGCGCATTTTTTTTTTGTCTTCGGCGTCGGAAATTAATGTGTTTGAAAAGCATTTCATTCATCACCTCCACAAATATGCAATGACAGTTAACACGCCTAATTCGTATGTGAGGGCAACATTTCGGTCGCTTAAACAACGTACACACTTACATACATAATATACACTGGCCTCCTCACATAACTTATAAATTCACACGAAACATAAATGCAAGAAATCATTAGGCGTTATAATTTTTATCGCTAAAAATATCTAATGGCAATTAGCGTGGGTCGTGGAAATATACTTAAAGTTAATATTGCAAGAAACATTTAAGAAACAGCTGGAAAATTACAGCTATTAATAATATCCATGTTAATATGCATACTTAGTTTGAATGAGGTAAAAACACACAATGAATGTAAATCATTAAAGCCCATTGCGGTGTACCCCAAAATCAATAATAAATGGTTCCACACATTTCACTTTTTCCTTTCCTATATTCACTAGTTACAGGCGGAAGAAAAAAATCCGGGCGAATATTTTTTCCAGCGAAACTCACGATAAGGGCAAAAATAGATATCTACACCCGTAGTCAGGCGCTTGACACAATTGTCTCGAGCAACAATTGTTCTAAAAAAACTGTTTAAACCATAATGAATTTTGCTGATATTATTATTGAAAGTCTCCTGAAAAGAACCAGAGTTTTCCGATTGAAAAATATTGATTTTCAAGAATTCTATACCATTTCTACGAAAAGTTGTTTTTTCCTATATAAAATACATGGAAAGCTTTGAGCGCTTTGAGCGACCTCTAAATATTTTTGATTTCAAAATAAAAAATTGGGGCATAATTTTTATACCTTTCATGAGCATGAAATGGTATTATAACTTTGGACTGATGTTTTTAAGTACCAGAGTAAGAAGAGGCAGACCCACTAAAATGTACACTTATATGAGCAGAGCGTCGAGATGGGTCGATTTAGCCATGTCCGTCTGTCCGTCTGTTTGTATGCAATCTAGTCTCTCAGTTTCAAGATATCCAAATGAAATTTGGTAGGTGGGTGTATTTTTATAATGTATTAATTATTTGTCGGAACCGGAAAAATCGGACCACTATGACATATAGCTCCCATACAACTGATTGTTCAGATATGAGATTTTTCCTTATAACTTCTCCATTTATGCAGCTAGGAACATGAAATTTTGCAATATTTCCACCCATTATCAACAAAAAACTTAAACTGAAAATTACAAAGATCGGGTCACTATAATCTATAGCTCCCATTCAACAGATTCTTCAGATATAAGATTTTTTATTATAACTGCTCCATTTAAGTAGCTAGGAACAAGACATTTTGCACTGTTATTACTCATTATCAAACCAATGAACCAATTTTTTTTATTTCAATGCCTAGTGGAAATTTAGCATTCGGTTTGTAGCTTTTACAATGGGCTTACATGCACAAATATTTGCACCATTGTATGCTCTGAACTTGAGCAATTCTTGCGGCAGACAACTACAGAATTCATTTTTTTTGGGCGTTACGTGTTGAAGTTGGATGCAGAAGACGGAAAGAAAGAGAGAGGAAAAAAGTGAAAGAGGAAACGAGAACAAAAACGAGAGGAAATGAGAAAACGTCAAAAATTACGCCGCGTTGATTTCGAAAACGCAACGCTTAGCACTCCAATTTAGGGACGGCGCTTTGGCGCATTTAAGACAGAGTATGCTGTAGCAGTCTAAACTCCTACTTGTCCTAACTCGATCTCGACATACCCAACAAATGACGGGCTTGTGAATGCAACCCACGTGAAATCAAGCACGCCCTAACTTTCACCCTTAAACCTATTCAGCTAGCCGATTTAGGAATGGCTTAGTAGTGTAACTAACTACAATAACATCAAGAAGTATATGTACATACAATCTTGCTTTATCACTTTTTAGCATGTGTGTACTTGTATATATTATTTCAGGAGTGTAGATTCTAAGGAATTTTACCTTGTCAGTTTAACATATTCAACGATAACACCAAACGAATTCCATAATAATCACGTGATTTCGGTAACCAAGAACATTGTGTGTATGTGCATGCATATGAGTATGCTCCTTCAACAAACACGTGATAAAACATGTTATGATCAAGTTTTGACTGAAAATAATATTTGCTAAAAGTCTTCTGCACTAACGTCACTGTAAGCATGAGTTTTATTTACACATGCTTACCTCATTTCTTTGTCAACGCCATCTAATGTCGTGTTAAATCTCGTGCCGCCGACTTACGTCCACCCCAAAGCAAATTAGTAGAGGCGATGAGCTGACAGCGAAACGTGCGCAAACATGCGACAAAATGTCTCTGATACTCTGGCATAAGTGTCAAAACAACTCATGAAATTTACGAAAAAACAAAAACGTAGAAAGAAAAGAAGCTATTTTTTTTTTTTGGTTTATATGTATACATACACAAGTATTTTAAGATACTGGTTCACTTTTTATAACTAGGCAAAATACACTAAATAAAAAAATTTTCCAAGATATGCATGAATTGCATTTTATTATTAGCGGCTCGCAAAAGAAAAACTTTTTAATACTTACTTTCACCTACGTAAGACTTAAAGAAAATTCTTCTCAAATAGTTTCTCAGAGTCTCTTAGTAATTGTACAGTTTCCTTCTTTGCAGTACCATGTGATTATCATTTTACGACATGCTGCCTCAACTTACATGTAGGTACCCTAACTAGTTTTCTTTAGCCACTCCGTTGAAATAGAATGAGGCTTTTTCATATATAGCAATGGATTTATGTATTATGTATATACCTGTTTATGGACGTATGCGCATTAACTAGTTGAACAAATGTCTACACATTTGTGTATTTTCTTAAGTGAGCACTAAATTTTGAAGTCAACTTAACGGTTAGGGTATGTAATACTTAGTCATATTTTATTGTGGCTCTTGTCTCTATTTTAGGATTTATACATCCAAAACCCCCTGTTCTTAATAAAAACTAACTAATATGATAACATTGAACTAAATATTTGTTTTCCTTTATTATACGAAGAAATTGAAATTAACAAATTTCAATGCATATATTTAGTACACACATATGTATGTACATGTGCATGAAAATTAAATAATTCAAAGTTTCAACAAAAAAATAAAAGGAAAAGTTAAATAAATACTTGCGTCGATTGTCGAATAATTTGACGGCAAATTGGACACAAAATGCTTGTATTCCCATTTAGATTAGTACGCCTACTGTGCTTGATTTATTTCATATAAAAGAGGAAATAAAGCCCATGGGTGTTATTTCCGCGGGCCTTACTGCACTCCACCATGATAAACATATCGTCGATACCATGTCAAACTATCGAATGTGCAAAAATGATTATTCAGTTACGATATCTTGCGCATGCGTTTAGAATAATGATACGCAAGCTGGAAAATCGTCAAATTGCTAGTCATATTAAAAGCGGAGGATTTCACAAAGTGTCGAATCCCACACTTTTTCCTGATTACAACAATATTTTTTTAAAGCCGTCTTTTGCTCCCCTGAAAAATACCCATTTTCACATTTAAAATCTAAGTCTTTGGATACCCACGCCTATAAAAGTATTTTGCAAAAAAAGTGTTTGCACAAATTTCCAACGCTTTAAATTCAGTCCATTTCCAATTCATTCGTACTACTCGCACCATCATCAATTTGCCACATTGCTTGCGTTTGATGACAGAAACGCCATTATTATCGCACTGTCTCCACAAATCACTCAAAACTATCAAACTGACAGTTTCGGGCATTTGAGCGGATAAATTTTCTTTGATTTGTATGAGGCCATTAAAACTTTTTTTTCTCAGTCGCACTTACAATAATGTTCAAGCGTAGACACAAAATTATGAAGTTCAATGAAAAAAAGATGATGAGGAGGGAGCTAGTATTATATGGCTGAGTTGTACACTTAAAAAAATTAAGAAGGCAAAGTAACATCTACGTTATTGGTTTCAAAATTTGCCATAATTTCAATTTCAGATTATGGTTAATTATGATGCCTCGCGGTAGAACGAAATATATGTATATAGAGAAAACTGTGAAGCGAGCGATGCCTTGTGGCTTTTCGAAAATACCTGCAGTCTTAAGGCAAAAGTTGGAATCTGGATGTACTTACTTCGAAGTTGTACGTCCTATGTGGAAGAAAGGTTTACGAAACCAATCAAATTATGTAAAACAATGTGTAATCCAGAGGTCTAATGCATCGCGACTACAGGAGAAATGAGAATTTTCAGTCTAGATACCTACTGAGATATTCATTTACTCTGCGAGATGTAACTACTTCTACTCGCTTTCGCTGTCGCCTTTTAGAGCGTAGTAGTTTACTCCACTGTCAAGGCGATCGGATTGCAATTTTCAAGGACAGCTGGACATCCAACATAGCTCTGACATCCTTCACAACAATGTCAAAGCTGATTTAGTAGTAAAAAAACTCTATACGCCCTGGTAATCGGGAGGTTCCCGGAAATGAGGTTGCTGATGTGTTAGCAAGAAGAGCCTCAATCGAGAACCGAATGTTATAGCCAGTAGAAGTTATGTACGGGAAATTTATTTCAAAATCTTCAGAAATCGAGCCATTGGTGGTGCATGG